CCCTAAACCCCTTAACCCTAACCCTAAACCCTAAACCCTAAACCCTAAACCCCTAAACCCCTAAACCCTAAACCCTAAACCCTAAACCCTAAACCCTAAACCCTAAACCCTAAACCCTAAACCCTAAACCCTAACCCCTAAACCCTAAACCCTAAACCCTAAACCCTACCAACCCCTAAACCCTAAACCCTAAACCCTAAACCCTAAACCCTAAACCCTAAACCCTAAACCCTAAACCCTAAACCCTAAACCCTAAACCCTAAACCCTAAACCCTAAACCCTAAACCCTAAACCCTAAAACCCTAAACCCTAAACCCTAAACCCTAAACCCTAAACCCTAAACCCTAAACCCTAAACCCTAAACCCTAAACCCTAAACCCTAAACCCTAAACCCTAAACCCTAAACCCTAAACCCTAAACCCTAAACCCTAAACCCTAAACCCTAAACCCTAAACCCTAAACCCTAAACCCTAAACCCTAAACCCTAAACCCTAAACCCTAAACCCTAAACCCTAAACCCTAAACCCTAAACCCTAAACCCTAAACCCTAAACCCTAAACCCTAAACCCTAAACCCTAAACCCTAAACCCTAAACCCTAAACCCTAAACCCTAAACCCTAAACCCTAAACCCTAAACCCTAAACCCTAAACCCTAAACCCTAAACCCTAAACCCTAAACCCTAAACCCTAAACCCTAAACCCTAAACCCTAAACCCTAAACCCTAAACCCTAAACCCTAAACCCTAAACCCTAAACCCTAAACCCTAAACCCTAAACCCTAAACCCTAAACCCTAAACCCTAAACCCTAAACCCTAAACCCTAAACCCTAAACCCTAAACCCTAAACCCTAAACCCTAAACCCTAAACCCTAAACCCTAAACCCTAAACCCTAAACCCTAAACCCTAAACCCTAAACCCTAAACCCTAAACCCTAAACCCTAAACCCTAAACCCTAAACCCTAAACCCTAAACCCTAAACCCTAAACCCTAAACCCTAAACCCTAAACCCTAAACCCTAAACCCTAAACCCTAAACCCTAAACCCTAAACCCTAAACCCTAAACCCTAAACCCTAAACCCTAAACCCTAAACCCTAAACCCTAAACCCTAAACCCTAAACCCTAAACCCTAAACCCTAAACCCTAAACCCTAAACCCTAAACCCTAAACCCTAAACCCTAAACCCTAAACCCTAAACCCTAAACCCTAAACCCTAAACCCTAAACCCTAAACCCTAAACCCTAAACCCTAAACCCTAAACCCTAAACCCTAAACCCTAAACCCTAAACCCTAAACCCTAAACCCTAAACCCTAAACCCTAAACCCTAAACCCTAAACCCTAAACCCTAAACCCTAAACCCTAAACCCTAAACCCTAAACCCTAAACCCTAAACCCTAAACCCTAAACCCTAAACCCTAAACCCTAAACCCTAAACAACTAAACCCTAAACCCTAAACCCTAAACCCTAAACCCTAAACCCTAAACCCTAAACCCTAAACCCTAAACCCTAAACCCTAAACCCTAAACCCTAAACCCTAAACCCTAAACCCTAAACCCTAAACCCTAAACCCTAAACCCTAAACCCTAAACCCTAAACCCTAAACCCTATTCGCGGGAGCCGCCATCAAAGGATGGGTAGTAAAGCAAATGGACATCGTAACGGCATTCCTTAACGGCATCCTTGAGGAGGAGATTTTTATGGCGCAGCCAGAGGGGTTTGATGATGGTAGTGGCAGAGTGTGGAAGCTGAAGAAGGCCCTCTATGGGCTGAAGCAGGCCCCTAGGCAATGGTACATGAAGCTGCGCGAAGTGTTGGAGGGGATCGGCTTCACTCCCTCAACGGCCGATCACTCCTTGTTCATGCTTGGCGAGGGGGAGCAGAGGAGTTTCATGGTGGTTTATGTGGATGACATCCTCATTTTCTCACCCTCTTCTGACCTTGTGAATGAGGTGATGCTGAAGCTTCAAGACAAGTTCAAGTGCAAGGCCCTTGGTGACGTGAGCTTCTACCTTGGGCTCCACATCGAACGAGATGTGGAGAAGCGGTGCATGCGGGTGCATCAACGAAAGTACCTGGAGGCATTGGCTGCCAACTTTGGGCAGAGTGAAGGCCATGTGGCTACACCCTTTCCCTCTGGGTTCAAGTGTGTGAAGGGACCAGAGGAGGAGAGCGTTGGTGAAGAGGAGAGGCGCCGATTTCACTCGTTGGTGGGCAGCCTCATGTATGCGGCGGTAAACACCCGACCGGACGTCGCGTTTGCTATCGGGCAGCTGGCTAGGGTTGTGCAATGCCCTAATGAGGAGTAGGTAGCAGCTGGAATGAGGGTGGCCAAGTATCTTGGCCAAACACCGACCGTTGGGCTGCAATACTCGGCGGCGGCACAAAGGCGCCAAAAGGGCGCGGATGGTGTTGAACCCGGGCGTTTGTTCCTCACCGCCTACTCGGATGCTTCATATGCATCAGAACCAGAGGACATGACAAGTGTGGGAGGCTTCATATGCTGTGTTGGTGGAGGCCCAACTGCTTGGGAGAGCAAGAAGCAGGTTGACCAAGCTTTGAGCTCGGTGGAGTCCGAGTACATGGCACTCTTCCGTGCCGTACGGGAGATTGTGTGGCAGCGGCGTTTGTTGGCTGAATTGGGGGAGGAGCAGCAAGGACCTACCCCACTGTACTGTGACAGCCAGGGTGCCATTGCTCTTGCTAAGAACCCTGTGTTGCATGGACTCACGAAGCACATGAGGGTGAAGTGGCATTGGACGAGGAGCATGGTAACCGCGGGTGAAGTTGAGTTGCGCTACGTGAAGACCACGGGGCAGCCGGCTGACATGATGACCAAGAGGCTGGTGGAGCAGCAGCATTGGAAGTGTTGCAAGCTGGCTGGGATGGCTCTGAACTGAGAGAGCAACATATCCTAAGGCCAACAATCCGAGGGGGAGTTTGTTGGTGCAACCCTACGGTTTGCACTCGGCTTGTTGTCCGTGTGCGTGAATGTGTGTGTGTATGGAATGGTATGAGGGCATGGGATAATATATATTTCATGCTTATAATTGTGTGTGAATGTTGAGTCATGATGTCGAGTGTGTGTGTCGAGTCAATAGCGAGTTATCGCTAGACGCGTGTTACGCGGTCGTTTGTGTCTCGCGCGCGGTTTCTATTTTGTCGTGCGCGGTTTCTATTTTGTCCTGTGTCGAACGTTCGGCGTGTCGCAGGTGTGTGCAGCAGACCCATCAAGAACTCAAGGATGAGTTTGTGATGAAGAGCCCGAGCCTTGGTGTCAAGCCTCAAGTGATTTCGAAGCTCGCCAAAAGGGTACACCTCAAGATATTGAAGATAGTTACATTACTTTGTGTAGTGTAACATTTCACTTGGTGTAGGCCCTAGTGAAGGGTAGTTTCGAGACCCTTCGTGGTTGGGGACAGTGTGGCACTGTTCCACATCACTGTACCTCGGCTCTTGGGGTTTGTAGGAGCTGGGAGTCATTCCCAACTCGTAACTCTTCCTATCTTGTGTTCTAAGACTATAGTGGCTGCCATAGTGCCGTTCGTTCAAACTGACGTTGTGTCGTCAATACTTGGTGAAATTGTGCGATCTAAATTTCCTATTGTAGGCGACGTTAAGACGCTCCAGATCCAAGTTGAATCAAGTCATTTAAAGCTGTGACCAGAACGCTATGAACGTTTGAAGCCGCTGTGCAGAAATCCGGCTGTGCACTCTATCTTTCGTTTTAGGCACATTGGAGCCTACTGTGACTATAACACAGAGCGTCGCTATGCTCTCCCCGGACGCCCCAGAGCGTCGCGATGCTCTCCCCGGACGCCCCAGAGCGTCGCGATGCTCTCCCCGGACGCCCCAGAGCGTCGCGATGCTCTCCCCGGACGCCCCAGAGCGTCGCGATGCTCTCCCCGGACGCCCCAGAGCGTCGCGATGCTCTACACGGACGCCCCAGAGCGTCGCGATGCTCTCCCCAGCCGCCCCAGAGCGTCGTGATGCTCTCCCCAGCCGCCCCAGAGCGTCACGATGCTCTCCCCGGACGCCCCAGAGCGTCGCGATGCTCTCCCCGGACGCCCCAGAGCGTTGCGATGCTCTCCCCGGACGCCCCAGAGCGTCCCGATGCTCTCCCAGGATGCCCCAGAGCGTCGCGATGCTCTCCCCGGACGCCCCAGAGCGTCGCTATGCTCTTCCCGGACGCCCCAGAGCGTCGCGATGCTCTCCCCGGAAGCCCCAGAGCGTCGCGATGCTCTCCCCGGACGCCCCTGAGCGTCGCGATGCTCTCCCCGGACGCCCCAGAGCGTCGCGATGCTCTACCAGGACGCCCAGAGCGTCGCGATGCTCTCCCCAGCCGCCCCAGAGCGTCGCGATGCTCTCCCCGGACGCCCCAGAGCATCGCCATGCTCTCCCCGGACGCCCCAGAGCGTCGCGATGCTCTCCCCGGACGCCCCAGAGCGTCGCGATGCTCTCCCCGGACGCCCCAGAGCGTCGCGATGCTCTCCCCAGCCGCCCCAGAGCGTCGTGATGCTCTCCCCGGACGCCCTAGAGCGTCGCGATGCTCTCCCCGGACGCCCCACAGCGTCGCGATGCTCTCCCCGGACGCCCCAGAGCGTTGCGATGCTTAGGGTTTAGGGTTTAGGGTTTAGGGTTTAGGGTCGCCCTAAACCCTAAACCCCGGACGCCCCAGAGCGTCGTGATGCTCTCCCCAGCCGCCCCAGAGCGTCGCGATGCTCTCCCCGGACGCCCCAGAGCGTCGCGATGCTCTCCCCGGACGCCCCAGAGCGTTGCGATGCTCTCCCCGAACGCCCCAGAGCGTCCCGATGCTCTCCCAGGATGCCCCAGAGCGTCGCGATGCTCTCCCCGGACGCCCCAGAGCGTCGCTATGCTCTTCCCGGACGCCCCAGAGCGTCGCGATGCTCTCCCCGGAAGCCCCAAAGCATCGCGATGCTCTCCCCGGACGCCCCTGAGCGTCGCGATGCTCTCCCCGGACGCCCCAGAGCGTCGTGATGCTCTACCAGGACGCCCAGAGCGTCGCGATGCTCTCCCCAGCCGCCCCAGAGCGTCGCGATGCTCTCCCCGGACGCCCCAGAGCGTCGCGATGCTCTCCCCGGACGCCCCAGAGCGTCGCCATGCTCTCCCCGGACGCCCCAGAGCGTCGCGATGCTCTCCCCGGACGCCCCAGAGCGTCGCGATGCTCTCCCCGGACGCCCCAGAGCATCGCGATGCTCTCCCCAGACGCCCCAGAGCATCGCGATGCTCTCCCCGGACGCCCCAGAGCGTCGCGATGCTCTCCCCGGACGCCCCAGAGCGTCGCGATGCTCTCCCCGGACGCCCCAGAGCGTCGCGATGCTCTCCCCGGACGCCCCAGAGCGTCGCGATGCTCTCCCCAGCCGGCCCAGAGCGTCGTGATGCTCTCCCCGGACGCCCTAGAGCGTCGCGATGCTCTCCCCGGACGCCCCACAGCGTCGCGATGCTCTCCCCGGACGCCCCAGAGCGTTGCGATGCTCTCCCCGGACGCCCCAGAGCATCGCGATGCTCTCCCCGGACGCCCCAGAGCATCGCGATGCTCTCCCCGGACGCCCCAGAGCGTCGCTATGCTCTCCCCGGACGCCCCAGAGCGTCGCGATGCTCTCCCCGGACGCCCCAGAGCATCGCGATGCTCTCCCCGGACGCCCCAGAGCGTCGCGATGCTCTCCCCGGACGCCCGAGAGCGTCGCGATGCTCTCCCCGGACGCCCCAGAGCGTCGCGATGCTCTCCCCAGCCGCCCCAGAGCGTCGCGATGCTCTCCCCAGCTGCCCCAGAGCGTCGCGATGCTCTCCCCGGACGCCCCAGAGCGTCGCGATGCTCTCCCCGGACGCCCCAGAGCGTTGCGATGCTCTCCCCGGACGCCCCAGAGCGTCCCGATGCTCTCCCAGGATGCCCCAGAGCGTCGCGATGCTCTGCCCGGACGCCCCAGAGCGTCGCTATGCTCTTCCCGGACGCCCCTGAGCGTCGCGATGCTCTCCCCGGAAGCCCCAAATCATCGCGATGCTCTCCCCGGACGCCCCTGAGCGTCGCGATGCTCTCCCCGGACGCCCCAGAGCGTCGCGATGCTCTACCAGGACGCCCAGAGCGTCGCGATGCTCTCCCCAGCCGCCCCAGAGCATCGCGATGCTCTCCCCGGACGCCCCAGAGCGTCGTGATGCTCTCCCCGGACGCCCCAGAGCGTCGCCACGCTCTCCCCGGACGCCCCAGAGCGTCGCGATGCTCTCCCCGGACGCCCCAGAGCATCGCGATGCTCTCCCCACACGCCCCAGAGCATCGCGATGCTCTCCCCGGACGCCCCAGAGCGTCGCGATGCTCTCCCCGGACGCCCCAGAGCGTCGCGATGCTCTCCCCGGACGCCCCAGAGCGTCGCGATGCTCTCCCCGGACGCCCCAGAGCGTCGCGATGCTCTCCTCGGACGCCCCAGAGCGTCGCGATGCTCTCCCCGGACGCCCCAGAGCGTCGCGATGCTCTCCCCGGACGCCCGAGAGCGTCGCGATGCTCTACCCGGACGCCCCAGAGCGTCGCGATGCTCTCCCCAGCCGCCCCAGAGCGTCGTGATGCTCTCCCCGAACGCCCTAGAGCGTCGCGATGCTCTCCCCGAACGCCCCAGAGCGTCGCGATGCTCTCCCCGGACGCCCCAGAGCGTCGCGATGCTCTCCCCGGACGCCCCAGAGCGTCGCGATGCTCTCCCCGGACGCCCCAGAGCGTCGCGATGCTCTCCCCGGACGCCCCAGAGCGTCGCGATGCTCTCCCCGGACGCCCCAGAGCGTCGCGATGCTCTCCCCGGACGCCCCAGAGCGTTGCGATGCTCTCCCTGGACGCCCCAGAGCATCGCGATGCTCTCCCCGGACGCCCCAGAGCGTCGCTATGCTCTCCCCGGACGCCCCAGAGCGTCGCTATGCTCTCCCCGGACGCCCAAGAGCATCGCGATGCTCTCCCCGGACGCCCCAGAGCGACGCGATGCTCTCCCCGGACGCCCCAGAGCGTCGCGATGCTCTCCCCGGACGCCCCAGAGCGTCGCTATGTTCTCCCCGCACGCCCCAGAGCGTCGTGATGCTCTCCCCGAACGCCCTAGAGCGTCGCGATGCTCTCCCCGAACGCCCCAGAGCGTCGCGATGCTCTCCCCGGACGCCCCAGAGCGTCGCGATGCTCTCCCCGGACGCCCCAGAGCGTCGCGATGCTCTCCCCGGACGCCCCAGAGCGTCGCTATGCTCTTCCCGGACGCCCCAGAGCGTCGCGATGCTCTCCCCGGAAGCCCCAAAGCATCGCGATGCTCTCCCCAGACGCCCTAGAGCGTCGCGATGCTCTCCCCGGACGCCCCTGAGCGTCGCGATGCTCTCACCGGACGCCCCAGAGCGTCGCGATGCTCTACCAGGACGCCCCAGAGCGTCGCGATGCTCTCCCCAGCCGCCCCAGAGCATCGTGATGCTCTCCCCGGACGCCCCAGAGCGTCGCGATGCTCTCCCTGGACGCCCCAGAGCGTCGCGATGCTCTCCCCCGACGCCCAAGAGCGTCGCGATGCTCTCCCCGGACGCCCCAGAGCGTCGCGATGCTCTCCCCGGACGCCCCAGAGCGTCGCGATGCTCTCCCCGGACGCCCCAGAGCGTCGCGATGCTCTCCCCGGACGCCCCAGAGCATCGCGATGCTCTCCCCGGACGCCCCAGAGCATCGCGATGCTCTCCCCGGACGCCCCAGAGCATCGCAATGCTCTCCCCGGACGCCCCAGAGCGTCGCGATGCTCTCCCCGGACGCCCCAGAGCGTCGCCACGCTCTCCCCGGACGCCCAAGAGCGTCGCCATGCTCTCCCCGGACGCCCCAGAGCGTCGCGATGCTCTCCCCGGACGCCCCAGAGCGTCGCGATGCTCTCCCCAGACGCCCCAGAGCATCGCGATGCTCTCCCCGGACGCCCCAGAGCGTCGCGATGCTCTCCCCGGACGCCCCAGAGCGTCGCGATGCTCTCCCCGGACGCCCCAGAGCGTCGCGATGCTCTCCCCGGACGCCCCAGAGCGTCGCGATGCTCTCCCCGGACGCCCCAGAGCGTCGCGATGCTCTCCCCGGACGCCCCAGAGCGTCGCGATGCTCTCCCCGGACGCCCCAGAGCGTCGCGATGCTCTCCCCGGACGCCCGAGAGCGTCGCGATGCTCTACCCGGACGCCCCAGAGCGTCGCGATGCTCTCCCCAGCCGCCCCAGAGCGTCGTGATGCTCTCCCCGAACGCCCTAGAGCGTCGCGATGCTCTCCCCGAACGCCCCAGAGCGTCGCGATGCTCTCCCCGGACGCCCCAGAGCGTCGCGATGCTCTCCCCGGACGCCCCAGAGCGTCGCGATGCTCTCCCCGGACGCCCCAGAGCGTCGCGATGCTCTCCCCGGACGCCCCAGAGCGTCGCGATGCTCTCCCCGGACGCCCCAGAGCGTCGCGATGCTCTCCCCGGACGCCCCAGAGCGTTGCGATGCTCTCCCTGGACGCCCCAGAGCATCGCGATGCTCTCCCCGGACGCCCCAGAGCGTCGCTATGCTCTCCCCGGACGCCCCAGAGCGTCGCTATGCTCTCCCCGGACGCCCCAGAGCGTCGCGATGCTCTCCCCGGACGCCCCAGAGCGTTGCGATGCTCTCCCTGGACGCCCCACAGCGTCGCAATGCTCTCCCCGGACGCCCCAGAGCGTTGCGATGCTCTCCCCGGACGCCCCAGAGCCTCGCGATGCTCTCCCCGGACGCCCCAGAGCGTCGCGATGCTCTACACGGACGCCCCAGAGCGTCGCGATGCTCTCCCCAGCCGCCCCAGAGCGTCGTGATGCTCTCCCCAGCCGCCCCAGAGCGTCGCGATGCTCTCCCCGGACGCCCCAGAGCGTCGCGATGCTCTCCCCGGACGCCCCAGAGCGTTGCGATGCTCTCCCCGGACGCCCCAGAGCGTCCCGATGCTCTCCCAGGATGCCCCAGAGCGTCGCGATGCTCTCCCCGGACGCCCCAGAGCGTCGCTATGCTCTTCCCGGACGCCCCAGAGCGTCGCGATGCTCTCCCCGGAAGCCCCAGAGCGTCGCGATGCTCTCCCCGGACGCCCCTGAGCGTCGCGATGCTCTCCCCGGACGCCCCAGAGCGTCGCGATGCTCTACCAGGACGCCCAGAGCGTCGCGATGCTCTCCCCAGCCGCCCCAGAGCGTCGCGATGCTCTCCCCGGACGCCCCAGAGCATCGCCATGCTCTCCCCGGACGCCCCAGAGCGTCGCGATGCTCTCCCCGGACGCCCCATAGCATCGCGATGCTCTCCCCAGACGCCCCAGAGCATCGCGATGCTCTCCCCGGACGCCCCAGAGCGTCGCGATGCTCTCCCCGGACGCCCCAGAGCGTTGCGATGCTCTCCCCAGCCGCCCCAGAGCGTCGTGATGCTCTCCCCGGACGCCCTAGAGCGTCGCGATGCTCTCCCCGGACGCCCCACAGCGTCGCGATGCTCTCCCCGGACGCCCCAGAGCGTTGCGATGCTTAGGGTTTAGGGTTTAGGGTTTAGGGTTTAGGGTCGCCCTAAACCCTAAACCCCGGACGCCCCAGAGCGTCGTGATGCTCTCCCCAGCCGCCCCAGAGCGTCGCGATGCTCTCCCCGGACGCCCCAGAGCGTCGCGATGCTCTCCCCGGACGCCCCAGAGCGTTGCGATGCTCTCCCCGAACGCCCCAGAGCGTCCCGATGCTCTCCCAGGATGCCCCAGAGCGTCGCGATGCTCTCCCCGGACGCCCCAGAGCGTCGCTATGCTCTTCCCGGACGCCCCAGAGCGTCGCGATGCTCTCCCCGGAAGCCCCAAAGCATCGCGATGCTCTCCCCGGACGCCCCTGAGCGTCGCGATGCTCTCCCCGGACGCCCCAGAGCGTCGTGATGCTCTACCAGGACGCCCAGAGCGTCGCGATGCTCTCCCCAGCCGCCCCAGAGCGTCGCGATGCTCTCCCCGGACGCCCCAGAGCGTCGCGATGCTCTCCCCGGACGCCCCAGAGCGTCGCGATGCTCTCCCCGGACGCCCCAGAGCATCGCCATGCTCTCCCCGGACGCCCCAGAGCGTCGCGATGCTCTCCCCGGACGCCCCAGAGCATCGCGATGCTCTCCCCAGACGCCCCAGAGCATCGCGATGCTCTCCCCGGACGCCCCAGAGCGTCGCGATGCTCTCCCCGGACGCCCCAGAGCGTCGCGATGCTCTCCCCAGCCGGCCCAGAGCGTCGCGATGCTCTCCCCGGACGCCCCAGAGCGTCGCGATGCTCTCCCCGGACGCCCCAGAGCGTCGCGATGCTCTCCCCAGCCGGCCCAGAGCGTCGTGATGCTCTCCCCGGACGCCCTAGAGCGTCGCGATGCTCTCCCCGGACGCCCCACAGCGTCGCGATGCTCTCCCCGGACGCCCCAGAGCGTTGCGATGCTCTCCCCGGACGCCCCAGAGCATCGCGATGCTCTCCCCGGACGCCCCAGAGCATCGCGATGCTCTCCCCGGACGCCCCAGAGCGTCGCTATGCTCTCCCCGGACGCCCCAGAGCGTCGCGATGCTCTCCCCGGACGCCCCAGAGCATCGCGATGCTCTCCCCGGACGCCCCAGAGCGTCGCGATGCTCTCCCCGGACGCCCGAGAGCGTCGCGATGCTCTCCCCGGACGCCCCAGAGCGTCGCGATGCTCTCCCCAGCCGCCCCAGAGCGTCGCGATGCTCTCCCCAGCTGCCCCAGAGCGTCGCGATGCTCTCCCCGGACGCCCCAGAGCGTCGCGATGCTCTCCCCGGACGCCCCAGAGCGTTGCGATGCTCTCCCCGGACGCCCCAGAGCGTCCCGATGCTCTCCCAGGATGCCCCAGAGCGTCGCGATGCTCTGCCCGGACGCCCCAGAGCGTCGCTATGCTCTTCCCGGACGCCCCTGAGCGTCGCGATGCTCTCCCCGGAAGCCCCAAATCATCGCGATGCTCTCCCCGGACGCCCCTGAGCGTCGCGATGCTCTCCCCGGACGCCCCAGAGCGTCGCGATGCTCTACCAGGACGCCCAGAGCGTCGCGATGCTCTCCCCAGCCGCCCCAGAGCGTCGCGATGCTCTCCCCGGACGCCCCAGAGCGTCGTGATGCTCTCCCCGGACGCCCCAGAGCGTCGCCACGCTCTCCCCGGACGCCCCAGAGCGTCGCGATGCTCTCCCCGGACGCCCCAGAGCATCGCGATGCTCTCCCCAGACGCCCCAGAGCATCGCGATGCTCTCCCCGGACGCCCCAGAGCGTCGCGATGCTCTCCCCGGACGCCCCAGAGCGTCGCGATGCTCTCCCCGGACGCCCCAGAGCGTCGCGATGCTCTCCCCGGACGCCCCAGAGCGTCGCGATGCTCTCCTCGGACGCCCCAGAGCGTCGCGATGCTCTCCCCGGACGCCCCAGAGCGTCGCGATGCTCTCCCCGGACGCCCGAGAGCGTCGCGATGCTCTACCCGGACGCCCCAGAGCGTCGCGATGCTCTCCCCAGCCGCCCCAGAGCGTCGTGATGCTCTCCCCGAACGCCCTAGAGCGTCGCGATGCTCTCCCCGAACGCCCCAGAGCGTCGCGATGCTCTCCCCGGACGCCCCAGAGCGTCGCGATGCTCTCCCCGGACGCCCCAGAGCGTCGCGATGCTCTCCCCGGACGCCCCAGAGCGTCGCGATGCTCTCCCCGGACGCCCCAGAGCGTCGCGATGCTCTCCCCGGACGCCCCAGAGCGTCGCGATGCTCTCCCCGGACGCCCCAGAGCGTTGCGATGCTCTCCCTGGACGCCCCAGAGCATCGCGATGCTCTTCCCGGACGCCCCAGAGCGTCGCTATGCTCTCCCCGGACGCCCCAGAGCGTCGCTATGCTCTCCCCGGACGCCCAAGAGCATCGCGATGCTCTCCCCGGACGCCCCAGAGCGACGCGATGCTCTCCCCGGACGCCCCAGAGCGTCGCGATGCTCTCCCCGGACGCCCCAGAGCGTCGCTATGTTCTCCCCGCACGCCCCAGAGCGTCGTGATGCTCTCCCCGAACGCCCTAGAGCGTCGCGATGCTCTCCCCGAACGCCCCAGAGCGTCGCGATGCTCTCCCCGGACGCCCCAGAGCGTCGCGATGCTCTCCCCGGACGCCCCAGAGCGTCGCGATGCTCTCCCCGGACGCCCCAGAGCGTCGCTATGCTCTTCCCGGACGCCCCAGAGCGTCGCGATGCTCTCCCCGGAAGCCCCAAAGCATCGCGATGCTCTCCCCAGACGCCCTAGAGCGTCGCGATGCTCTCCCCGGACGCCCCTGAGCGTCGCGATGCTCTCACCGGACGCCCCAGAGCGTCGCGATGCTCTACCAGGACGCCCCAGAGCGTCGCGATGCTCTCCCCAGCCGCCCCAGAGCATCGTGATGCTCTCCCCGGACGCCCCAGAGCGTCGCGATGCTCTCCCTGGACGCCCCAGAGCGTCGCGATGCTCTCCCCCGACGCCCAAGAGCGTCGCGATGCTCTCCCCGGACGCCCCAGAGCGTCGCGATGCTCTCCCCGGACGCCCCAGAGCGTCGCGATGCTCTCCCCGGACGCCCCAGAGCGTCGCGATGCTCTCCCCGGACGCCCCAGAGCATCGCGATGCTCTCCCCGGACGCCCCAGAGCATCGCGATGCTCTCCCCGGACGCCCCAGAGCATCGCAATGCTCTCCCCGGACGCCCCAGAGCGTCGCGATGCTCTCCCCGGACGCCCCAGAGCGTCGCCACGCTCTCCCCGGACGCCCAAGAGCGTCGCCATGCTCTCCCCGGACGCCCCAGAGCGTCGCGATGCTCTCCCCGGACGCCCCAGAGCGTCGCGATGCTCTCCCCAGACGCCCCAGAGCATCGCGATGCTCTCCCCGGACGCCCCAGAGCGTCGCGATGCTCTCCCCGGACGCCCCAGAGCGTCGCGATGCTCTCCCCGGACGCCCCAGAGCGTCGCGATGCTCTCCCCGGACGCCCCAGAGCGTCGCGATGCTCTCCCCGGACGCCCCAGAGCGTCGCGATGCTCTCCCCGGACGCCCCAGAGCGTCGCGATGCTCTCCCCGGACGCCCCAGAGCGTCGCGATGCTCTCCCCGGACGCCCGAGAGCGTCGCGATGCTCTACCCGGACGCCCCAGAGCGTCGCGATGCTCTCCCCAGCCGCCCCAGAGCGTCGTGATGCTCTCCCCGAACGCCCTAGAGCGTCGCGATGCTCTCCCCGAACGCCCCAGAGCGTCGCGATGCTCTCCCCGGACGCCCCAGAGCGTCGCGATGCTCTCCCCGGACGCCCCAGAGCGTCGCGATGCTCTCCCCGGACGCCCCAGAGCGTCGCGATGCTCTCCCCGGACGCCCCAGAGCGTCGCGATGCTCTCCCCGGACGCCCCAGAGCGTCGCGATGCTCTCCCCGGACGCCCCAGAGCGTTGCGATGCTCTCCCTGGACGCCCCAGAGCATCGCGATGCTCTCCCCGGACGCCCCAGAGCGTCGCTATGCTCTCCCCGGACGCCCCAGAGCGTCGCTATGCTCTCCCCGGACGCCCAAGAGCGTCGCGATGCTCTCCCCGGACGCCCCAGAGCGCCGCGATGCTCTCCCCGGACGCCCCAGAGCATCGCGATGCTCTCCCCGGACGCCCCAGAGCGTCGCTATGTTCTCCCCGCACGCCCCAGAGCGTCGTGATGCTCTCCCCGAACGCCCTAGAGCGTCGCGATGCTCTCCCCGAACGCCCCAGAGCGTCGCGATGCTCTCCCCGGACGCCCCAGAGCGTCGCGATGCTCTCCCCGGACGCCCCAGAGCGTCGCGATGCTCTCCCCGGACGCCCCAGAGCGTCGCTATGCTCTTCCCGGACGCCCCAGAGCGTCGCGATGCTCTCCCCGGAAGCCCCAAAGCATCGCGATGCTCTCCCCAGACGCCCTAGAGCGTCGCGATGCTCTCCCCGGACGCCCCTGAGCGTCGCGATGCTCTCACCGGACGCCCCAGAGCGTCGCGATGCTCTACCAGGACGCCCCAGAGCGTCGCGATGCTCTCCCCAGCCGCCCCAGAGCATCGTGATGCTCTCCCCGGACGCCCCAGAGCGTCGCGATGCTCTCCCTGGACGCCCCAGAGCGTCGCGATGCTCTCCCCCGACGCCCAAGAGCGTCGCGATGCTCTCCCCGGACGCCCCAGAGCGTCGCGATGCTCTCCCCGGACGCCCGAGAGCGTCGCGATGCTCTCCCCGGACGCCCCGGAGCGTCGCTATGCTCTCCCTGGACGCCCCAGAGCATCGCGATGCTCTCCCCGGACGCCCCAGAGCATCGCAATGCTCTCCCCGGACGCCCCAGAGCGTCGCGATGCTCTCCCCGGACGCCCCAGAGCGTCGCGATGCTCTCCCCGGACGCCCGAGAGCGTCGCGATGCTCTACCCGGACGCCCCAGAGCGTCGCGATGCTCTCCCCAGCCGCCCCAGAGCGTCGTGATGCTCTCCCCGGACGCCCTAGAGCGTCGCGATGCTCTCCCCGAACGCCCCAGAGCGTCGCGATGCTCTCCCCGGACGCCCCAGAGCGTCGCGATGCTCTCCCCGGACGCCCCAGAGCGTCGATATGCTCTCCCCGGACGCCCCAGAGCGTCGCGATGCTCTCCCCAGCCGCCCCAGAGCATCGTGATGCTCTCCCCGGACGCCCCAGAGCGTCGCGATGCTCTCCCCGGACGCCCCAGAGCGTCGCGATGCTCTCCCCCGACGCCCAAGAGCGTCGCGATGCTCTCCCCGGACGCCCCAGAGCGTCGCGATGCTCTCCCCGGACGCCCCAGAGCGTCGCGATGCTCTCCCCGGACGCCCCAGAGCGTCGCTATGCTCTCCCTGGACGCCCCAGAGCATCGCGATGCTCTCCCCGGACGCCCCAGAGTGTCGCGATGCTCTCCCTGGACGCCCCAGAGTGTCGCGATGCTCTCCCCGGACGCCCCAGAGCGTCGCGATGCTCTCCCCGAACGCCCCAGAGCGTCGCGATGCTCTCCCCGGACGCCCCAGAGCGTCGTGATGCTCTCCCCAGCCGCCCCAGAGCATCGTGATGCTCTCCCCGGACGCCCCAGAGCGTCGCGATGCTCTCCCCGGACGCCCCAGAGCGTCGCGATGCTCTCCCCGGACGCCCCAGAGTGTCGCGATGCTCTCCCCGGACGCCCCAGAGCGTCGCGATGCTCTCCCCGGACGCCCCAGAGCGTCGCTATGCTCTCCCTGGACGCCCCAGAGCATCGCGATGCTCTCCCCGGACGCCCCAGAGCATCGCAATGCTCTCCCCGGACGCCCCAGAGCGTCGCGATGCTCTCCCCGGACGCCCCAGAGCGTCGCGATGCTCTCCCCGGACGCCCGAGAGCGTCGCGATGCTCTACCCGGACGCCCCAGAGCGTCGCGATGCTCTCCCCAGCCGCCCCAGAGCGTCGTGATGCTCTCCCCGGACGCCCTAGAGCGTCGCGATGCTCTCCCCGAACGCCCCAGAGCGTCGCGATGCTCTCCCCGGACGCCCCAGAGCGTCGCGATGCTCTCCCCGGACGCCCCAGAGCATCGCTATGCTCTCCCCGGACGCCCCAGAGCGTCGCGATGCTCTCCCCGGACGCCCCAGAGCATCGCGATGCTCTCCCCAGCCGCCCCAGAGCGTCGTGATGCTCTCCCCAGCCGCCCCAGAGCGTCGTGACGCTCTCCCCAGCCGCCCCAGAGCGTCGCGATGCTCTCCCCGGACGCCCCAGAGCGTCGTGATGCTCTCCCTGGACGCCCCAGAGCGTTGCGATGCTCTCCCCGGACGCCCCAGAGCGTCGCGATGCTCTCCCAGGACGCCCCAGAGCATCGCGATGCTCTCCCCGGACGCCCCAGAGCGTCGCTATGCTCTTCCCGGACGCCCCAGACCGTCGCGATGCTCTCTCCGGAAGCCCCAAAGCATCGCGATGCTCTCCCCAGACGCCCTAGAGCGTCGCGATGCTCTCCCCGGACGCCCTTGAGCGTCGCGATGCTCTCCCCGGACGCCCCAGAGCGTCGCGATGCTCTACCAGGACGCCTCAAAGCGTCGCGATGCTCTCCCCAGCCGCCCCAGAGCATCGTGATGCTTTCCCCGGACGCCCCAGAGCGTTGCGATGCTCTCCCCGGACGCCCCAGAGCATCGTGATGCTCTCCCCAGCCGCCCCAGAGCATCGTGATGCTCTCCCCGAACGCCCCAGAGCGTCGCGATGCTCTCCCCGGACGCCCCAGAGCGTCGCGATGCTCTCCCCGGACGCCCCAGAGCGTCGCTATGCTCTCCCCGGACGCCCCAGAGCGTCGCGATGCTCTCCCCGGACGCCCCAGAGCGTCGCGATGCTCTCCCCGGACGCCCCAGAGCATCGCGATGCTCTCCCCAGCCGCCCCAGAGCGTCGTGATGCTCTCCCCAGCCGCCCCAGAGCGTCGTGAAGCTCTCCCCAGCCGCCCCAGAGCGTCGCGATGCTCTCCCCGGACGCCCCAGAGCGTTGCGATGCTCTCCCCGGACGCCCCAGAGCGTCGCGATGCTCTCCCAGGACGCCCCAGAGCGTCGCGATGCTCTCCCCGGACGCCCCAGAGCGTCGCTATGCTCTTCCCGGACGCCCCAGAGCGTCGCGATGCTCTCCCCGGAAGCCCCAAAGCATCGCGATGCTCTCCCCAGACGCCCTAGAGCATCGCGATGCTCTCCCCGGACGCCCCTGAGCGTCGTGATGCTCTCCCCGGACGCCCCAGAGCATCGTGATGCTCTACCACGACGCCCCAGAGTGTCGCGATGCTCTCCCCAGCCGCCCCAGAGCATCGTGATGCTCTCCCCAGACGCCCCAGAGCGTCGCGATGCTCTCCCCGGACGCCCCAGAGCGTCGCAATGCTCTCCCCCGACGCCCAAGAGCGTCGCGATGCTCTCCCCGAACGCCCCAGAGCGTCGCGATGCTCTCCCCGGACGCCCCAGAGCGTCGCGATGCTCTCCCCGGACGCCCCAGAGCGTCGCTATGCTCTCCCTGGACGCCCCAGAGCATCGCGATGCTCTCCCCGGACGCCCCAGAGCATCGCAATGCTCTCCCCGGACGCCCCAGAGCGTCGCGATGCTCTCCCCGGACGCCCCAGAGCGTCGCGATGCTCTCCCCGGACGCCCGAGAGCGTCGCGATGCTCTACCCGGACGCCCCAGAGCGTCGCGATGCTCTCCCCAGCCGCCCCAGAGCGTCGTGATGCTCTCCCCGGACGCCCTAGAGCGTCGCGATGCTCTCCCCGAACGCCCCAGAGCGTCGCGATGCTCTCCCCTGACGCCCCAGAGCGTCGCGATGCTCTCCCCGGACGACCCAGAGCGTCGCGATGCTCTCCCCGGACGCCCCAGAGCGTCGCGATGCTCTCCCCGGACGCCCCAGAGCGTCGCGATGCTCTCCCCGGAAGCCCCAGAGCGTTGCGATGCTCTCCCCGGACGCCCCAGAGCATCGCGATGCTCTCCCCGGACGCCCCAGAGCGTCGCTATGCTCTCCCCGGACGCCCCAGAGCGTCGCAATGCTCTCCCCGGACGCCCCAGAGCGTCGCGATGCTCTACCCGGACGCCCCAGAGCGTCGCGATGCTCTCCCCAGCCACCCCAGAGCATCGTGATGCTCTCCCCAGCCGCCCCAGAGCGTCGCGATGCTCTCCCCGGACGCCCCAGAGCGTCGCGATGCTCTCCCCGGACGCCCCAGAGCGTTGCGATGCTCTCCCCGGACGCCCCAGAGCGTCCTGATGCTCTCCCAGGATGCCCCAGAGCGTCGCGATGCTCTCCCCGGACGCCCCAGAGCGTCGCTATGCTCTTCCCGGACGCCCCAGAGCGTCGCGATGCTCTCCCCGGAAGCCCCAAAGCATCGCGATGCTCTCCCCGGACGCCCCTGAGCGTCGCGATGCTCTCCCCGGACGCCCCAGAGCGTCGCGATGCTCTACCAGGACGCCCAGAGCGTCGCGATGCTCTCCCCAGCCGCCCCAGAGCGTCGCGATGCTCTCCCCGGACGCCCCAGAGCGTCGCGATGCTCTCCCCGGACGCGCCAGAGCGTCGCGATGCTCTCCCCGGACGCCACAGAGCGTCCCCATGCTCTCCCCGGACGCCCCAGAGCGTCGCGATGCTCTCCCCGGACGCCCCAGAGCGTCGCGATGCTCTCCCCGGACGCCCCAGAGCGTCGCGATGCTCTCCCCGGACGCCCCAGAGCGTTGCGATGCTCTCCCCGGACGCCCCAGAGCATCGCGATGCTCTCCCCGGACGCCCCAGAGCGTCGCTATGCTCTCCCCGGACGCCCCAGAGCGTCGCGATGCTCTCCCCGGACGCCCCAGAGCGTCGCGATGCTCTACCCGGACGCCCCAGAGCGTCGCGATGCTCTCCCCAGCCACCCCAGAGCATCGTGATGCTCTCCCCAGCCGCCCCAGAGCGTCGCGATGCTCTCCCCGGACGCCCCAGAGCGTCGCGATGCTCTCCCCGGACGCCCCAGAGCGTTGCGATGCTCTCCCCGGACGCCCCAGAGCGTCCTGATGCTCTCCCAGGATGCCCCAGAGCGTCGCGATGCTCTCCCCGGACGCCCCAGAGCGTCGCTATGCTCTTCCCGGACGCCCCAGAGCGTCGCGATGCTCTCCCCGGAAGCCCCAAAGCATCGCGATGCTCTCCCCGGACGCCCCTGAGCGTCGCGATGCTCTCCCCGGACGCCCCAGAGCGTCGCGATGCTCTACCAGGACGCCCAGAGCGTCGCGATGCTCTCCCCAGCCTCCCCAGAGCGTCGCGATGCTCTCCCCGGACGCCCCAGAGCGTCGCGATGCTCTCCCCGGACGCGCCAGAGCGTCGCGATGCTCTCCCCGGACGCCACAGAGCGTCCCCATGCTCTCCCCGGACGCCCCAGAGCGTCGCGATGCTCTCCCCGGACGCCCCAGAGCATCGCGATGCTCTCCCCAGACGCCCCAGAGCATCGCGATGCTCTCCCCGGACGCCCCAGAGCGTCGTGATGCTCTCCCCGGACGCCCCAGAGCGTCACGATGCTCTCCCCGGACGCCCCAGAGCGTCACGATGCTCTCCCCGGACGCCCCACAGCGTCGCGATGCTCTCCCTGGACGCCCCACAGCGTCGCAATGCTCTCCCCGGACGCCCCAGAGCGTTGCGATGCTCTCCCCGGACGCCCCAGAGCCTCGCGATGCTCTCCCCGGACGCCCCAGAGCGTCGCTATGCTCTCCCCGGACGCCCCAGAGCGTCGCGATGCTCTCCCCGGACGCCCCAGAGCATCGCGATGCTCTCCCCGGACGCCACAGAGCGTCGCGATGCTCTCCCCGGACGCCCCAGAGCGTCGCGATGCTCTCCCCGGACGCCCCAGAGCGTCGCGATGCTCTACCCGGACGCCCCAGAGCGTCGCGATGCTCTCCCCAGCCGCCCCAGAGCGTCGTGATGCTCTCCCCAGCCGCCCCAGAGCGTCGCGATGCTCTCCCCGGACGCCCCAGAGCGTCGCGATGCTCTCCCCGGACGCCCCAGAGCGTTGCGATGCTCTCCCCGGACGCCCCAGAGCGTCCCGATGCTCTCCCAGGATGCCCCAGAGCGTCGCGATGCTCTCCCCGGACGCCCCAGAGCGTCGCTATGCTCTTCCCGGACGCCCCAGAGCGTCGCGATGCTCTCCCCGGAAGCCCCAAAGCATCGCGATGCTCTCCCCGGACGCCCCTGAGCGTCGCGATGCTCTCCCCGGACGCCCCAGAGCGTCGCGATGCTCTACCAGGACGCCCAGAGCGTCGCGATGCTCTCCCCAGCCGCCCCAGAGCGTCGCGATGCTCTCCCCGGACGCCCCAGAGCGTCGCGATGCTCTCCCCGGACGCCCCAGAGCGTCGCGATGCTCTCCCCGGACGCCACAGAGCGTCCCCATGCTCTCCCCGGACGCCCCAGAGCGTCGCGATGCTCTCCCCGGACGCCCCAGAGCATCGCGATGCTCTCCCCAGACGCCCCAGAGCATCGCGATGCTCTCCCCGGACGCCCCAGAGCGTCGCGATGCTCTCCCCGGACGCCCCAGAGCGTCGCGATGCTCTCCCCGGACGCCCCAGAGCGTCGCGATGCTCTCCCCGGACGCCCCAGAGCGTCGCGATGCTCTCCCCGGACGTCCCACAGCGTCGCGATGCTCTCCGTGGACGCCCCACAGCGTCGCGATGCTCTCCCCGGACGCCCCAGAGCGTTGCAATGCTCTCCCCGGACGCCCCAGAGCATCGCGATGCTCTCCCCGGACGCCCCAGAGCGTCGCTATGCTCTCCCCGGACGCCCCAGAGCGTCGCGATGCTCTCCCCGGACGCCCCAGAGCATCGCGATGCTCTCCCCGGACGCCACAGAGCGTCGCGATGCTCTCCCCGGACGCCCCAGAGCGTCGCGATGCTCTCCCCGGACGCCCCAGAGCGTCGCGATGCTCTACCCGGACGCCCCAGAGCGTCGCGATGCTCTCCCTAGCCGCCCCAGAGCGTCGTGATGCTCTCCCCAGCCGCCCCAGAGCGTCGCGATGCTCTCCCCGGACGCCCCAGAGCGTCGCGATGCTCTCCCCGGACGCCCCAGAGCGTTGCGATGCTCTCCCCGGACGCCCCAGAGCGTCCCGATGCTTTCCCAGGATGCCCCAGAGCGTCGCGATACTCTCCCCGGACGCCCCAGAGCGTCGCTATGCTCTTCCCGG